ATGTGGGATCCGAACCCTCAGCGGGAGCGCCGCCGCGCTCCCAAGCAGCGCACTGTAGCAGGAACCGGGCCGGCCCTTCACTTGATTTTTAAAATGTGAGTGGTTTTGTTTTTATTGTTTAGGGATTTTTCATTATAAAGATTATGCAAATTCAAGAAAATAAACACTAGAGTTGAAGTGTCTGATCCTATTTCTCAAGGGTCACAACATACTACGGTTTTATGTGCTTCTGTGAGTGGATTGTTTGAAGATGTTGTGTCCATGTAGGAAGAGGGAGGGGGATGCTCAAGAAATGAAAGCAAACCTTGTGTTCTGTGTATTTACTGGCTCTGAAAGCATTCATAAGTGGGCCTGTTATTCCCACGTTAGTGGGGGGACAATTGGCAGGACTTCCCCTATCGGAAGGATAGGGAAACTGAAGCCACGCCTCAGCTGCCCAACTGTGCCCTAGTCATGCCTCTTCTCTGTAATCTCAAGTCTCCCCATTTCCTTCCTCCTCCCAGCCATCACCCCCATCCGGGCCCTCATCTTAATACGCCTGAATCCCTGTCACAGCCTTCCCTCTGGTGCTCCTGCCTCTTGTCTCACCTCCTCACAGTGGCTAGAGGGAACTTTCTAAATGAAAATTCTAACCTAGTCCCTCGCTACCTCAAAGACCATCCATGGCTCCCCATTACCCCAGGATAAAATACAAATTCTTTCACATGACGTTTGTGGACTTTCCAACCTGATCTTGGCCACCTGCCAGCCATGCTGGCCTTCTTTCCTTGGGGTCTTCTATCTAGAATGCACATCCCTCACTCCCACCATATGTTAGGACTGGTAGCCACTCAAAGAGAGGGCTCTGGAGTTCAACTCTCAGGAGTTCTCTCCTGTCTCTGCTCTTGCTAATTGAGAGGACTTGGAAAGGTCTTCACCTGTTCGTAGCCATAGTTTTCTCATCTGTGAAATAAGTGTTGCAGTAGCAGTAACCCTCCTGGGGCTCTTGCATGGGTTAAATGAGATAATGCACGAAAAGGGCTTAGGACAGAGCTTGGCGATTACTGTTTCTATTCTCGTAAGTGCCGTGTCTTCTCCTTTACGCTGCTCTCATCTGATCCATTCATGTCTCCTCATCGCTGCCACCTAGTTCAAGCCAACCATTGCTCCCCACATCACCTGGACAATTCCATGCTCCTCTGCTCCCAGCTTCTGACCTAGTCCTCTTTGTT